GAGTAGTGACTAATTCTTCTATAGCTTTCTGTTATCCAGTACCTTGTATAGTATCTTTCAACAGGAGGCACTAAAAAAAATATTTACTTAATGAATGGATTAATATTTTTACTATAATCTTGCTCAAGCATCTTCCAGATACTGTAATGATTATTACTGCCTGGTATCCAAAAACAGTTTACCTGACATGGTATTTAATTACATATTAAATAATACAGGAGTATATATATAATCAACCAGTGTCCAAGAAAATTACAAGATCTCAAGAACTTTGTATTTAATTTTATTTTTTAAATGTTTATTTTCGAGAAAGATGGGGGCAGAGAGAGGGAGACGGGATCCGAAGCAGACTCTGTTTTGATAGCAGACAGCACAACGCGGGGCTCAAACCACAAGATCACGACCTGAGGCGAAGTCGGACTCTTAACCGACTGAGCCACCCAGGTGCCCCTCAAAAACTTTTTAAACGGTGATAACCTGCATATCTTTTTGTATCTTCAGAATTTTAAAAAATTTCAGAAAACTGAACCTATTTAAAATACACACATGAAAGTAAGCTTCTGAAACGAGTGCAAATAAACAAATGTAGCGAGACTTACCTAGCAGGGGGAATCCCCCTCTTACAGAGGTCCACCCTCACTCTCTCTCCCACATGTCTATAGATCTCCACCACAGCCAATACTGCCGCATCTCTCACCTGCCAAAGAATTCAGAAATTTAAAAAAACAAACAAAACAAAAAAAAACACCTTAGATGAAACATAATAAAATACTTCACCTCAAGGCAACATTACACTCGCACACCACCTTGAAGCTCTCAGTTGGTTTTAATGCTTCTAAACCCCTGAAAGATTTTGGCAGGTCATTAACAAAAACCAAGAGGGCCTGCAGAGAAACCTCTAGAGAAACCTTGTAAAAGGTTCTGTAGAAACCTAAAACATGTAAATAAAAGCTATTAATGTGGCTTTTAAAAAACCTTCTATTTGTAATAAGCCTGCATAAAAGCTGCCAGTAACTGTATGATTACAAATCATTACTGCGGTTAATATACTTTCCTGGAATAAAACTGCCCTTCAAGAATGTATTCCGAACCCAACACTCAATAATGCGCAAAGCATCGTTACTCACAATGGTCAAAAGATGAAAACATCCCAAATGTCCACCTGTGGATGTATGTATAAAGAAAACGTGGTATACACACACAATGGAATATTATACAGCCTTAAAAACGAGAGGAGGAAGTCGGACAAATGACAACACAGAAGAACCCTGAAGACATTATGCCAGGTAAAACATGTTAAATACAAAAGGACAAATTATATGGTTCCACTTTCATGAAATACCTAGAGCGTAACAATTCACAGGAGAAAAAGTAGTATGTGGTTGCCAGGAGCTGGAGGACTGCGGGGAATAGGGAGTTCTTGCTTAACAGGTATGGGTTTGGGAAGATGAAAAAGTTCTGGAGATAGACCGTGGTGATGGCTGCACAACAGTGTACTTAATGCCAACGAACTACACACTTCAAAATGATTACAATGGCAGGGGCGCCTGGGGGGCTCAGTCGGTTAAGCGTCCGACTTAGGCTCAGGTCATGATCTCGCGGTTCGTGAGTTCGAGCCCCGTGTCAGGCTCTGTGCTGACAGCTCGGAGCCTGGAGCCTGCTTCAGGTTCTGTGTCTCCCTCTCTCTGACCCTCTCCAGCTCACACTCTGTCTCTCTCTCTCAAAAATAGACAAACATTAATACAAAATGACCAGAATGGTAAATTTTATGTTGTGTATATTTTACTACAATTAAAAGAAAAAAATGTGGCCTCAAGACAGGAATTTGGAAGATGGCCATATTTTCCATGCCCAGCCCACCGCCAAAAAGCAAATGAAGAGGAAGTAAAACTCTACAAACCTCCAGGGGCAGAGCCAGGCCTAGTAGCAAGGAAAACCTTATCCAGGGTTATTCCAAATGCTCAAGCTGTGCCAAAAAGGTTACAGTCAAGATTCAACTCCACTAGGACGGACAGGATCCAGAATACTCCCTTTTTATGCCTAGCATACGCAGCTCAGGTAAATGTCTAACAAGGGATATACCACTGGTACAAATTCTCTCGTTAAACAGGGTTCTGTGGCAAAAAGTTGTTACGCAGCCACTTTCAGGAATGAAGAAATGAGGCTGACAACCTGTCCTCACGGTTAAGTGCAGGACTACGGAAAGGAAGGCTCTTTGTCACTCCATCTTTCAAACCCGAGAACTATCCTTTCAGCACCACACATCCTTAACACCAGTCAAACGAGTGACAAACTTAAGCAACTGAAGTGAATATAATGTGTTCTCAGGAAGTAACTGGTGGATTTTAAGAGCAAAATGACACGAAATCTTGATTTCAGAACCCCCTCCACCCTCCCTCTCCTTTTTTAAAAACGGAGTAAGAGCCCTAAGAAGAAGAGGTGGCCAAAAAAGTTAGTCAATGCTTGAATGTAAATAAAATTTTACCTGACTGTTGGAATCTCCAAATAAGATACACAAATGTGGTACCAACTTGCTGAGGACTAGCGGCCGAGCCCCAAAACTAAATAAAATTTGAAACAAAATAAAGAGAATTCGGTTTTAGTCAAACAGTAAACAAACTATACTTTCTTCTGGTTTGTATCAATAAGACAAATATGGTGGACAGCACGGGCACACATCATTAAAACATGAAGGATGTGAGACACAAGCAAAAACTAATTCTAAACAATGTGAAATATGCAAAAGTGAATAATCATGACTGACAATGAAAACTGTCGACACATGATCCAACAGAACAAAATGTTCAACCGATGGCACTCTTAAACCTAGCAACCTATCGATCGCTCATGAAAATTTGAGCTTTTGCTTTAAAATAGTGATATTTTTAGATGCTGTGTCTCCAATAAATTTGCATTCCAATAAACCTTTACTTATGTTTATTAATATTTTGATGAGGTCATGGGTTGAAAGCAAATGACAGGAGAGCCAAAAACCACAAAAGCTGTGCAGACTGAATGCACTTACAAGCTCTAGATGGCAGAAAGGACCACAGAGGAGTAAAAGAAAGTAAGTGAAGGTATAGTTAGAATAAAGGAAGTAACGCTACAGGAAAAGTTGAAAGTTACAATAGATCACCTATCTTGTCGCATAGAACTTGAGCACATAATCAAGAAAGGGAACAAAAGCCCTGGCTGACCAGTTTTTCGGACTGGAGTTGTGAGCTCTGTGTTATCTGTGTTATCTATGCTTCAGAGCTCTACATAATGCTACCCAATTCACCGTCTAGCTACCTGGCCGAATCTTGGTCAGTCTATGATTTTGGTAACTACCCACCGTGGTCTAGAAAACCTAGGTGGGGGAAATAGCTACAATATCTGAAATACCACTGAGTTAAAAACAATGCCAAACTGGGTCCAGAACAGAAGAAGATCCTAAGTTATACCAGCATTCCTGTTATATGACCATCTATTTTGGGTAGCAACTATTACTCAACTTATTTAAGAAAAAAAGAGAAACACTTATCACTGACTAGTTGTTTTAAATTAATATACACATAAAAAATTAACAGCCGAAGATATCAGATCAAATAAAAACTCTCATACCAGAGATCAATTAATAACTAATTTAAAATTTGTTATTTCCATAGCTTTCCTTGAGCTTTACAAAATGGATACTGTTTTTTCTTTTTAGCAAAATGAAAAACAAGTTGACTATTTTCAATAATCATAAAACTTACACGTTTAAGGTTTCAATAAGACATAGACACACGCCTTCTCGAGATCGAAAATTCTTGTGCTTAAAACCAGAAGTCAACTGTTCCCAAATGTACTATTTGAAGGAGAAGTAAACAAGAATAACAAAAAATTAAATTACTCATGCTTTAATCTTTTATCTATTCCCAACCTTATCACCAACTTTCATGAGAACTCAATTTTCCCATCAGATTTTACTTCTCAGTTTTTCTAAGCCAATTTGTGCTAGCATTGTTCTCACCCATTTTCTAATATTATAATCACATTTTTTGGTTTTTATTTAATATCTTTCACTTTAGATTTCAATTATTCTCAGAAAAACAATGTCCAATACCTAAAAACCTTACAATTTCCATGCACAGAGAATTCTAAGCTTTAGAAACCTTTGACAACAATGCTACCATTATAAGCCCAGTAGTCCAGTAAGCATTCAAAATGCCTAATGTTGCCTGGCAACTACTACAGACTGTCACATGGAACAGGATTTTTCAACATTTTATAATTCAGGCTTTTCTCCTTCAGCACTGGATCCAAATACAGAAACATTATTTGGGTAAGTCATTTTATTGCTGCCTACTATAATTCTCTTTTGTAAAAAGCATACATAAACCTATACAGATAATCCAACTTTATTTTCCAAACATACAGCCAATTGTCTCAATCAGTCCTTTCTCTGCAGTTAGAAACACCATCCTTTCCATTTATTAAATTCATGCATGCATACACATACACACACACACACACACACACCCTTCTCTTCCTGGACTCTATTCAGTTCTACTAATATTACTCTCTGCCAAACTTTCTAGAAGGTAACCTGGAAGTTTACCTGGAAAACCTGAAATGTGAATAACCACCTCTGGAACACCAGTCTATATAAATACTTATATTTATGTCCAAAAACACACGTACAAGGATGTTACTTACAGTACTATTTATAATAACACATCAAAAGGGAGTTAAAATTTGAACCACTAAGCAAGTGCTGAAGGATACCCACCAAACTATTAGCAAGGACTTCATTCTAAGGTGTAAAATATCTCGGCCAACAGTTTATTTTTACAATTGAACACTCTTTGGATGTTTTTCTAAAACGTATGTAATACATAATTTTAAAACTGTATTCTAAGTGATAACACATTAAGTGATAACACATTGCATATATTGTAAATTCTGATTTTTTTCTACTTAACATGAGATATTCTATAAATCTTTATTTACATGTCAATTTATTTTCAGTCTCCTTTCAAAACATCTCCCTAAGGGCTAATTTTTTTTTTTTTTTACTATATTCATAACACACAAATCAGTGTCCTAGAATATATGCTTTATCTAATTAGTAACCACCTGTTTAAATAAAAAATTTTGTTCTTGTCAGTGTAAAAGTCGCAGTAATTAATACAACATTCAGTAGTTCTCAAAAGGAGCTTTCTCACTGAACACTGTATAACCTGCAGGTAAGAGAAACCAAAGAATAATATATTCAGCATATCGTCCTAGTAACAGAATCTGAGTCAGCTTTATAAAAAATGCCAAAGAGTAGAAAATAGGAAAAAGCAAAACAACACAACGTTAAACACTGACATTTTACTTTAAATTTCAATTTCTTTAGAGCATTAACAATGATTCACTGTTTCCAATTTCAGCTTCCATGTCCCTGGAGGCTTCCATGACTCGCTGTGATTACCATCCATCTATCCCGATATTTCATCACTGATTAGCAAAATCGAAATTTAAAAGGTAGGCCTACCATAGGTGCTGCTACTTGATCCATCAGCTTCAATATCAGAGTCTGAGCTTCGTCTCGAACCTTGTCTTTGGCATCTCCCATTCTGTCTATTAAAGCTACAATAACTAGAGAAAGGCAGGAGGAAGAGAGTAAATATTTATAATTCACCTCCATTATAAGCTATATTTTACAAAATTATAATCAGCTCGTTTCATAAATGAAAAGTTATCAGGTAAGCAAATTATTTTCTTTACTCATGAGTCCAACAAAAACTAACGGAGAAGGAAGGTTCAAAAGTATACTCACAGCATGATATCCACTTATGATCATGTTCAAAAAACAGGCAGGACTAAACACTATCCTATTTAGAGACGTGTGTGGCTAGTCAAGCTCTACAGATCAGCAAGGGAGTGGTCATCCGAAACGTCACGTCAGTGGTAACGTCTGGTAGAGGGAGGGAGGGGTCATTAGGAAACGCAGAGAGGAACAGCTAAGATGGCACAGTTCTGGTTTCCTGACCTGGGCACAGGCAGGTGTCGGTTTATGATCACATGTTTGACATATGATCACATGTTTGACATGTATGTATGACATATTATTCTGACAAAAATAAAAGCCTAGGCCCCCGGGATTACAGTTTTTCTCTACTATGTCCAAGACTGTGGCACTGTTTCACGCAAGGAGGCAAGAAAGGCAGGTGAGAGTCTATTCTTGGAGAGTTTTCATGAAAATGGCTTCTGTAACTGTAAGTCGACAAAGAACCACCAAGAAATGACATCTGTTGAGGGTGAGGGTGAAGGGAAAGGGAGGTGACGGCAGAATTCAGAGGGCACAGATTCTAAAGTTCACTCATAGGGCAAAAGTCTCTCACAGTCAAAATTATCTTTTTGTAATCCCTTAAATCACCACTGCCCCTCGTGTGGTATTACAAGGTGTGAGGCCACATTATTTACTCTCCTTTTGTCTTTACTTTCTCAGCTCCTAAAGGTCTGCAGCAGTGCTCACCCCAAAAGGTGACTAAAAATTAAAGAGAGAATACATTTAACTTAGAGTGAAGGGCACTAAGTAAGTACTCTGTGTGTCACCTGCCACCCCCATCATCCTCCATGTTGGACAGCAAAGAAATTAACTTGTTTCTCTTTTGACACGACAGCTATAGCCTTCCTTTCCCTGAGGCGGTGAAGGTTGAGGCCTAGTTTAAATAAGGGAAGGAAGAAGAAATAAGATGGAGAAAGGGATTTTCTCTCATTTATTTATAGACAATTATAATTAAGTGTATACATAATTTAATGCAAATATATTCTACAATAAACACTGTCTACAATATAACAACCAGACTGATTTAGTAATAATAAACAACACTTACGGAAAAAAGAAATTACATTATTTTTGGAAGAAAATTAGACTATAGTGAGAAGCCCACTATACCAAATGGAATATTATCCAAAAACCTAAGCTTAATCAAGGAAATGACTGTATAAGAAAACAAAGTTCTTGCCATAAAACCATAAGCCTAATCATGAGGCAACTGAAGTACCTGTCTGTCAGCTTGAACAATATAAATACTTCTCATCTTGCTTAGATGTATTGTTAACGTTAGAGAAAACCATTGACATCTGTAGGACTGGCTGTTGTGGGACTCTGGTTCTGATAGCTTCTGAGAGGCAGAAGATAGTAATAAACGCTCAATAAATGTTAGATATTACTCCGTACTAAGCATTGAATTATCTCACGTCAACCTCGTAACAGCCCAATTAAAGAGAGTAGGCTCATTTGATAGAGAAGGCCCAAAAGGATTAAATACCTTGCCCAAAGTCACAAAAATAGCAAGCTGAAACCAGGACTTAAATAATCCACACAATTAGGTCCCAGTTATAACTACTTCCATTTACTACTTGTAATCGATGGGTTCTATGTGTGTGTACGTGTGTGTGTGTCTGTGTGTGTTAACAATCACACAACAGGAGTATGAAAAAAAATATCCACTGCATTCTTGAGAGGTGGGATTTAACTCCAAAAAGAAAACTAAAATGTTGGCCCAAACCAGGGCTCACTTCAAGACAAAAAACTAAACTTTTATAGAATATAAAGAGCAAAAACAACCTGACACTGACACTACATAAACATTTTATTATGGTTATTAAACAAAAAAAATCCATAACTTTTTTGCATTAGAGTTCCTTTCTGATACATACTCGCTTGGTGTGAAACAGAACAAGATTTTATTCCTGGTTTTACCAGTTGTTAATCATTCAAGACCGTAAACTTCTCTGAATTTGAAAGTTTCCTTGTCTATAAAGTAAGGAGGGGTGCAGGCCTGTACCTCACATGACTAGTGACAGAATGATGTAAAACTGGAAAAAAAAAAAAAAAAAAAA